GTTGTTAAGGAATAACGCATGGGGGGTGGGGAATGGGAATCTGTATAGTACGTTCCCAAGACCTTTCTTTGGTAGGGAAGGAGGAAATAAAAGAAAATTTTCTTAGCTTTTGAGAAGAATTTACATTAGCATACTTTTGTCTATGCTTGAATCTTTTTATCCTGGCCTTTGAATGTATACTAGGTCCAAATTCACATCATCTGGGTGGTCAAATAAACAAAACAAAAAACCTCAAGCTGAGAACTTAAAGTAATTCTGAAGTTGTAATGTCCTAAGCAGAAGCAAATGAATGATCTGTGGAGAAAGAAATCTTTATCATAGGCTTCAAAGAAGTCTCACAAATAACTTTCAGAGGAAAACGAGCAGTTCAGGAAAAAAAATAACGCACAAGAAAACAAGGTACTATAAGAAAGAACTATAAGGAAAAAAAAGCAAAAACAGACTCAGAGAACTTCAGATAAAACAATACTTTTCATTAGAAACAATAAAAGATAGAAGACAGTGTAACGACATCTATATTTGGAGGAGGCCTAAAAAACAATGGACAATCTAGAACTCTACACAGCAAAAACCTCCATCAAAACAAATGTGAAATAAACTCTTTTAGATATACAAAAGCTGAAATAATTTATCGTCAGTGCACCTGGACTATAAAAAATATTAAAGGAAGTCTTTCGTGTGGAAGAAAAGATGGTATCAGATAGAAATCTGGATCAACAAAAAGAAATGAAGAACACCAGAAAATGGCAACGTGGGCAAATATAGAAGATGTGTTTTTCTCATTTAAACTTCTTTTAAAAATAATTGACCATTTAAAGCAAAAATACTAAAAATGTATTTTGAGATTTCTAACAAAGGATTTAAAAAAGCATAGAGGAGAAATGGAAAAAAGGAAATACATCGTTGGAAGGTTCTTGTACTAAATGTAGAGTACGTTATCACTTGAAGATAGACTGTGATATATTAAAGATATAGACTGTGAACCCAAAAGCAACTACTACAAGGACATAATAAAGAGTTACAGTTAGTAAGACAATTAGAGACAAAAGTATCACAGAAGAACATTCAGCCCAAAGGAAGGTAGAAGAGGAAAAATAGCAACAAAGCTTAAGCAGACTCACTGGTATTTGCAACACAGCTGAATCTCAAACAATCCTGAGTAAAAGAGCAGATACCCCTACGCCAAAAATACATACTGCATGATTCCATTATATAAAATTCCGGAAAATGCAAAGTAATCTATAGTGCTAGGAAGGTTCATCAGAGGTTGCCTGGGGATGAAAATGAGAGAGGCCAGGGAAGGAGAGATTACAAAAGGGCCCGAAGTATCTTGTGAAGGTGATGGGTATATTCATGATCTACATGGGCAGTAGTCTGTCCATAGCCACACGTCTTGAATCTTGAACCTGCAGATTCACAACGTTCCATACGGATGGCCTGACAGGAGCTGCGGTATGAATCCAAGTGTCAGGCTCTAGCCACTGTGGCTCACAATCTTGCCTCTGCCTTCCAGAAACCCTCTTCCGGACCTCTGCACATACCACCGCACGGTAGCAGAGCGCTCCACAGCACAGAGGCCCAGTATGGAATCCAGGCACCAGCGCTCTCCGCTGTGCAGTTTTGCAGACGCCATCTATCCTCTGGGAGGCGGAGTTTCCACACCAGTAGATGGGAGTAACAATGGAACCTACCTCAGGGTGGTTGTGAGAACTGTGCTCATCAATACGATGCACTTAACACAGTGCATGACGCATTTAAATGCTAAGTAAATGTTCTATGTTGTTATTACCTCCATTCCTTTTCTGGGGCCTTCCTTGCTCTTCTAGAAACCCAAGGCACAAAGTGTCCGGTTAGATGGTCTAGTCTTTTGCCATACAATATAGTAATCACTAGCCACACGTGGCTATCGAGCTCTTAAAATGTGGCTAAACTGAGATGTGCTGCAAGTTCAAAATACACATCAGATTTTGAAAACGGTATAAAAATAAGAATGTAAAATAGCTCGTTAATAATTCTACAATGACATACTGAAATTTTTTATATAACTAGTTAAATATATTAATTTTCACCTGTTCCTTTTTACCGTTTTAATGTGGCTCCTAAGAAATTTAAAATTACACATGACTCACATTATGTGTGTATATTTCTACTGCTTACTGCTGGTCTAGTTATACTAAGAGTTTAGGCAGTTCAAGCTCCTCCCCTTAATCGGTAATTTAGTCTACTCAGTCAGCCAGCCTGTCATTGCGTAAGGCTTAGATGGCCTGGGGAATGTTTAAAGGAAACTTTAAATACAGCCTAGTCCTAACACTCACCTCCTGCCCAAATTTGTCTACAAAATCCACCCAAGGGTCATCTACCACACATTCAAATCCTTCCAATGATAATTAAGTCACCAACTCCCAAAGCAGCCCTTTTCCTTTGGATAAATGAGAATCAGACACTTATTCCTTATACTAATGAGGATGTACCTCTCCAGAGGGCTAATCTTAGTCCTCTGAGCCATTTAGAAAAGGACCAAGAACGGGGGAATAAACTACCATTTGCAAATCACTTACTACAGTAGTTAGTTGTATTTAACCCACATAGCAGTAGGTGCTGCTGTTATCTCCATTTTATGATGGGGCCTATACAGCTCAGAGAGATGAACTAACTGCCTAGGGTACCAATCAGAAACTGGCATATTTCGACTCAGAGCTGGTTGACTTCTGAAACATCTTCATTTAACACTGCTTTTGTGGTTATGTTCCCAACATTTCCCTCTGTCCCAGTTATCCAGCCTGTCAGCAGCCACAGGCTCAATCCAAAAGCAAGAATCTTGCCCTGGGCCAGACAAGGGTGTCCTTACCTGTCTCAGCAGCCCCCAGAATATCCAGTTTGTCACGGATGGCAGGTGCCAACGTCAGAGCTTGGATTGGTGTAGGAGCAGAGAAGCCTAGAAAGCTGAGTGCTCGGAGAACTGGCTTGGGTACAAATAGGTCTTTCCAAGCTGATACATCTGCCTTCTGGTCACGCACCTCAGGCATCCACGTCTTTGCTTTTTTGGGCACCTTTGGAGTAGGACCCTGTGAAGGCTCCGATTTCTTTTTCTCTTTCTTTTTCTTCTTTTTTGGAACAGCCTGGGTTGGGCTCTCTGATGCCACCTCCTCTACTTCTGGATTGGGACAAACTGTGCCATCTCCCAGGGGCTCTGGCTCAGCATCTTCAGCCTCGAACTCTTTCTGGGCACTGGTTCCTCCAGTTTCCACATCTTTACTCTTCTTCATCTTTTTCTTTAAGGAGCTAGATTCTCCTTCCTCCTCTCCTTCTGAAACAGTCTGTGCTTTTCTCTTCTTGGGCTTCTCCTTTGAGAAGAGACTGGAGGGATTCTTGGCAGGGGAGACCAACTGGTAATCTGTGAGTTCCTCAAAGCACACCAGGTCATCCATCTGTCCATCCGCAAACATATTTGGGTCAATCTTCACCCTCTTCCATTTTCCCACAACCTTGATTCCCTTTGTCTGAAATTTGCCATAGTTTGGCGGCTTTGGCCTTGATTTTGTCTCCTTCAACTTCATGGTTGCTGAAAAGGAGAGAAATGTTCTATTAGGTTGGCAACTAAGAAGCATAGGCTTCTGAAACAAATATTTTTTAAGCAGCTGATAGTGTCAGGCCCTACAAAGAAGTGAGGACACAAGATGGCTCTAACATTGATACTCCCAGCTAGAGAAGATCAAAAAAGGAAAGAAATACAACCATAAAGCAGGCAGTTTGGCTTGGAACGGGGGAACACAGAATGTGGAGCCAAGTCATAGTAGCTAGACTGAATTCTTGATCCAATGCTTACTGCTTGTCTGCCCTTGGAAATCCTGCTTAATTCTCTCAACTTCAATGCTCTCATCTCTTTCAAAGGAGAAGGGGCCTAATAATATTTAAGTCAGAAAATGTTTTGCACCACTAAATAAAATCATGTAAAGCATGGAGAAGGCCTGCCA